TGTGGAGCAGACACTGCCTCTCCCTCAGGCCCTCCTCCTGCAGTGCATGCTGGACACCCCCACCCCCATTCCCAGCATCTGCATCTCTATGGAATCCAGAGAAGTAACCACCTGACACCTCCCCTGCTCCAGCAGCCTCACTCTGTGAGCGGTGGGCGTGGGTGTGCACTTCTCAACTCCTTCACCCTTTGCATGGAAAAACTCAGATGTGCAGGTTCTACACTGTCTCCCATAAAATGGTGACTGGCTTATTGATACACCCTTTCCTGGCTGCCTTCCTTTTTCTGTATCAATTCCCCAACATCCTAGCGGTGTTTCTCAGAACCCCTGACCCCAAATTATCTGTAACTGAATTCTTGTCTCAGGCTACAACTACAGAAGCCCAAACCAAGATACCCTGAGTTGTCTTCATCATCTCTAGGCCCAACTTATCCTTTTCCCAAGACCCCACCAGCTACAAATCATTGCTGGTGCCAAGGGACCATGAGAACTATTTGGACTGAAGGCAAATCTTCACTGGCTCACAGGTGATTTGGGGTGAGAGTTGTCTCTCCACTCCTGGAGGATTATCAGTCAAAGCTGCACAAGGAAGAAACCTCATAAAGGGTAACCATGGGAGAGCAATAGTAAAGTGTGGGTAAAAAGGAGGATGTTGGGTAGAGGAGCTGTCTCGAGAACCATAAAGAAGCACAAGGAAGAAACCTCATAAAGGGTAACCATGGGAGAGCAATAGTAAAGTGTGGGTAAAAAGGGGGATGTTGGGTAGAGGAGCTGTCTCGAGAACCATAAAGAAGCGTTGGAAGCAGGGAGGAATCAGGAGTTAGAGAGGGCTGATGCAACCCTGCCTTGCTTCTGTTTGGCCCTGAAGGGACGCCCCAATTCTTCTGCCTTTAAACTCACTGCTGGCTGCTCTGCCCTTTACAGAACCTGCCTCATGTCTGCATCCTTCTCAACCAGCTTTTGATAAACTGGCTTTTGGTCTTTTCTCTCCTCTAGTTCTTGGTCTATTCCAACACCATTGGCCTTTAGCCTTGGATCCTCTTGTGATGCCTGTTCCCAAAGGGGATCCTCTCCCAGGGTTCACACCCTTATACCTGCTCCCATGCAGAGCCACCAGGCCATTTTGGATCTCTATGTCAGTGTGATGCTTCCTGTATTTGTGTAGCAATCAACTGCTTTTCTAAACTGCCAAGGAGCCTTTACCCCTTTGTAGTGAGAGCTGTATTCCATTTTGAATTCTTTGAAAGTTACAAGCTGTTTTAGAAAAACATGAACAAGAACTAGGAATCAGTCAGTTATCTCGCTGCCCCTCATTCTCAGTCCCCTGCCACTTTGATTATTTGTTTATTACCAGATCCTTCTTTCTGTTTAAACATCTTCCTCACTGTCTGGCAGGCAGAGCCGTCTCCAAGGCACACGCCACAGCGGTCCTCTGTGGCGTTGGAATCAATCTCATAGTCACAGCCGACCATCTGTGGAGAAGAGAGGTTGAGGGTAGAAGACAGAGGCAGGGGACGCCACACCCACTTGACCTGGGACTTCTCCTTTCCCCCTTTGTTCTTTGTAAGACTAGGCAGGCAGGTACAAAGGTACAAAGACAAATGTTTATTTCCTTTTCCTGGTGGCAGCCAGAGGAATAACCAAAGCATCCACCAATGGTAAAAGGACATACTTGCTTAGAGGGCAGAGAGGCACATACTGACTGAGGTCTCCAATTTCCCAAGTCAGAGGCAGAACTGAACACAGTTCCAAAAATCTAACCATAAAAACGTCTTGGAATTGGAGTTGTTGGAGCAGCAAGTCTTTTTCAGATGTGTTCCCCGCCTGAAAAAGGGGAGCGATGAAACTGGATGTTCTGTAGCATCCGGTAGCAAAGAATCACCACACTTAGGTTGAAAGTCACGAAACACACCTGAGCTTCAATTAAACTTCCCTGTTGCTTGCTTTCTTCTAGGGCTACAGGTAAAACTATACTATATTCCTTTAGTCATAAATTTCTTTCCTGTTTGGGAAGAAGAATTGGGCCCAGGTAGGTTTCTTTATTATCAAAGATCATTTTCTTTCTAATATTAATGCCACCTCAAATCTACTGAGAGGAAGAATGGTTTGGGTCTTTAAATATACCCACTACCAGCTTACCAGGGAATTACTGCCCACCAACAGAAAGAATGCATGCCTCAGGTTAGCCATCTCTAAACTCCTTTTGTTCCAAACACTGTGCTACTTGACCCAGCTGGGGAAAAAATGAAGTGCTAAGAAATTTTCAGAAAACCAAAACTTGATTACGCTAGTCACAATGAAAAGAAGAGGAATGTTCTGGAAGTTTGCCTTCAGTGGTTAGGAGTAAAAGGCCAACCCTTCACCAGTGATGTATTACATTGAGCCTGAGCATCCTCTAATAAGCTGACCTTTGCAGTCACATTTGCAGTGATCTTCACTCCTTCACTAATTTGGAATGAGCCAGGAAAATTGACTCTTTTTAAATCTCTACCAAGAGGGAAACAGGTAAAAAAAAATCTGAAGAATAAAGGAAAGAAAGCCAGAAAAACAAATAGCGTGAGACCAGGTCTTTCTTCCTGAGTGGATGATCATGTTTCTCCAGCAGTATTCGCCTTGACCACTGGGGGGACAAAGTTTGGGGGAAGGAGACACACCCATGTCCCCAATATGTTGTCCCACAGCTTAGTAGGTGGGTTCTTGTGGAGACCTCACCCAGTTTGCTTCTCCTGTCAGCTGCACACTTACAAGAAAACTGAATTAAGCATGTAACAGAAGGTCTGTGAAGGCATAGACTAGTCTTCCTTGTTGCATATAAAACATAAGGGGCTCTCAGGGGAAAATAAACAGACTTCAAGCTCCTCTCTCACACCACGTGCTCTGGTAATAGGGCACACAACCATATGGTCTTTCTGCCTTCCGCGGAATCAGAGGTGGCTGTGCTGCTGCTACCAAATGTGAACAATGACTTCAGCATGGTTCTCTGAGGTGACACTGGGGATGCCAGACCGCCACCCCAATGCACAGCATTTTTGAAAAAAAAGATCACTTTTATTTCCCACATCATTAGTTCTTAATTTTGAAATAATATGCATTGAAGAGGATACTATCTTGAGTATTACTTAGGGAGATCAGGTCCCAACCTTTCACCAGGCATTTAGCCCTCCATGAGTGAATAAGTAACACATATTCTTACCAATTCTCTCTTTTTTTGTGTGCTAAGAGTTAACATTGTTTTACTTCGCAAACTCTCAAGTGACTGTGAACTGACATACACACTGGCATCATGACCTAATCCACTTGCAGGCATTTAGCCCTCCATGAGTGAATAAGTAACACATATTCTTACCAATTCTCTCTTTTTTGTGTGCTAAGAGTTAACATTGTTTTACTTCGCAAACTCTCAAGTGACTGTGAACTGACATACACACTGGCATCATGACCTAATCCACTTATAACGTCATAATTTCTTTCTAAAGTCCCTTGGCAAGGGTAGAGACTGGGAGAATGGCTGGTTCCAAGATGAGATCCATTACCAGCCAATGAGATTTCAAGTGTAACAATAGGGCACGGCTCTGCTTAGCTGAAAAGAACAGGTAAATGATTCTTCCATTTAACAAGTGGGATAGTAGCACAAGGCTTTCCTTGTCATAATTTTTCCAGTAAGTATTTGTTGTGGATTAAACTATATTCCCCAAAAGATATGTTCAATTTCTAACCTCTGATACCTGTGAATGTGACCTTATTTGGAGATGAGGTCTTTGCAGATACCATCAAATTAAGATGAGGTCATACTGGATTAGGGCAGCCCTAAATTCAATAACTGGTGTCCTGATAAGGAGAGAGAAATTCGGAGACAGAGACATACAGTGGGAAGATGGCCATGCAAAGACAGAGGCAGAAATTGGAAGTCAGAAATGTCAATAATTTTCTGCAACCACCAGAACCTAGGAAAAAGCAAGGAAGGATTCTTCCCTAAATAGCCACATGTAGCTGGTGGCTACCCTACTGGACAGCACAGGCCCACAGTATTTGCTAGCTAGTAGGAAGGGCATCATATTAATGAAGGATGTTTTCTTTTAATTTCTTTTTTTTAAAAAAATATTTGATGGGGAGATGGAAGACCCTGAGTAGTCTCTAAGTAGCCACAGTACTTAGCCCACCAGCCTCTTATAACCATCCCACCACCTCCAATGGCCCCCAAATTTACCTTCCACTCCTGTGGCAATTTCAGATCCTTCTGTGACTAGATCATTTTCTGTCACATTACACAACCTCCTTGTCCCCTTCATACCACCCAAATATCTCATATATACTTTTTAAGAGATGAATGATACTGTCCCTATGCATACAAAGTATTTAGATCTAAAAGATAATTTTAACATTACATTCATTTCTTGGTGACTAAAGTTCACAGCTCTTGCTGCATATGATAATGACCTGGGGAGATTTTAAAATATCATTGCTCAGACCCCAAATCCTATGGATCCTGAATTAATAGATTTGAGATAAAGCCCAGACATCGGTAATTTTTAAAAGCTCTCCAAGTGATTCTAATACATAGCCAGGATTGAGAACAACTGCGTTAGACAGGGGTGGAGCTGTTTTGGCCTGAATGATTTAAATAAATCTCTTCCCATTCTGGGAAACACATCTATCTAAAATATATTACTTATTTTTGGCTCTTTCTAGCTACAATGATAATTAGTTGGTTTCAAAGAGAATTTTGCCTGAGCTCTTTCAAACTTAGAGTCTGATTATAGCTTTTTGTTTAGCTCACTCATTCCTGGGAATCAACATCTTGCCCCTGAGTTTTGGTCACCACTCAAACAAAACAAAAAGCAACCTTCCCAGAGTGCTGAACATTTATGGGCAAGAGCATTTCTTGGCGGGGGATGGGGGGTGGGTGGGGAATTTTATCCAGTGGAAAAAAATGGTAAGTATTTGCAAAAACAAATAAAATTTATTAAGAGTTTATTGTGTACCAGGGCTTCTGTTAAGGGCTTAACATACATGACCTTGTTTAATCTTTTTGACACTCCCAACTAGGTAGAAACATTAATATCCCAATTTTATGACCAAAAACTGAGTCTTAGAAATATGTACAGGATACACTGCTAGTAAACGATGGTGTTTAGTTCATATTCTAGAGCCCCAGCACCAAACCATTATGCTTACTAATAGTTAATTAGGTATTCCTATACAGTTTTCATTTAATTAATTAAAAACACCTCATTAAACTGAGATTTATGCTTAGGTGTTGGATCACAAGACTTGTTCAGCGGTTCCTTGTAAAACAGACTGCAAGCAATGAGAAGCAATTCTTCAATGGTTGTACACGTAAAGCATTAACAAAAAAGGTCTAAGTAATTCACATACAGGTGGAGTTGATTAAAAGAGTGAGTGTGAAAAAATTACACAGAAATCAGAAGCCTGGTTTATAACCACCTATCATGCTGTCTTTCTTTCTGAGAAGATCATGTTGCTAATCAATAGAGAATTAAATGTAAAAATGCTTTGTGAAAAGTACTATACAAACTATTACTGATTTCAGTTTTTCTCAAATTTAATGCCACTAAAATAAGCTGGGCTGCCTTTTCTTAATAATTCCTCTGTTAATTTGGTTCCCCTTCAATATGACCCTGAAAAATGCCTAAAATAATAGCGTAGTTTACATCAACAAATTAAGAAATGAAAGTGACAGCAGGAGGAAAAAACTATTCAGTTCAAAACTATGATTTTGATGAACACTGAGAAGTCTTGTCTTCTTGTCTCACAGACCATATATAAAAACCAAGCCACATAATTAAGAAATGAAAGTGACAGCAGGAGGAAAAAACTATTCAGTTCAAAACTATGATTTTGACGAACACTGAGAAGTCTTGTCTTCTTGTCTCACAGACCATATATAAAAACCAAGCCACAGGTAAATGCCAAGAAAGCACACGCTTAGATATCTGATTCTTAAATTAATAAAAATCACAATTTTATAAAGTTGTAGATTAAGGAAACATACCCAATACCTTACATATGCCATTAATACAGACATTTCTGCTGTTTCCTCCTTCGAAGCAAGGGGTACCATCAATGACAGCATCCAGCATTTTCTCAGAAAACTGGCCGTCTATGGGTCGGCAGTACAGCTCACAAGGATGTGCTGAAGTGAGAAAAAGACAGGTCCTTGGAAATTAGCTTTTTAGCTCAGCACCCTTCCCCCAGACTTCCTTTGTACTCATGACCCCCGAGTGTCGTTTAATCTGGTGATTCCATCTATTACCTTTCTGAGACACATGCTGTAATGTAGGCTTTTTACTTTTTTCAGTTAAATAGTTTTATAATGAATTACATTTGGAAGATAAAAGTCCTATGCCCTGTGTTATAAACAATGAGACCTTTCAATGCAACATTAAACTGTGCTTGTAAAAATAAGGCACTGAATATCTAAAGTTAACCTGGAAGATAAGTCATAGCAACCAGTGCTGCAGGATTCCAGGTGACCCTGATGTCTGCCCATTGTTTACAGCAAAGTAAGTAGAGCTCCAGGGATAGGCGGTCCTCTCTCATATGGCCAGATCATACTAACACCACCGTCACCATCACCACCATCATTACCCCATCCCCAACAAATGTTTTCCCTTATTCTCCTCAAGTCCGAGGAGTGCTTGGACACAGACTGACAACCATGCAGAAACAAAGCACCTACTTTTTTTGCGAAAGCTGAAGCCAACCTGTTTATCATAGTGGTCCATCCCATCACCCTGGGTCTTTCATTGAATCCACACTAAGGTTCAGTTTTCTACTGCCTTGTGAATGTAGATAGGGGATTCTACAGCACAGGAACTTTTACTTTATGAAGTATGTAGCCATACATGTGTGCACAGAATAACCAGAAAGATGAATAACTTTTTTTTTTTAAGGGTTGGAGAAGGAAGACCATACTGGTGTGCTGGACTTTTTTTTTTAATTGATGTACCACAGTTTATTTAACTAGTCTCCTATTGATAGACACTGAATTTTTCCTGCTTTTGCTATTACAAACAATGAGAAAATGTACATACATAAATCCATACAGTACAGATATATCTTTAGATGAATAACTTTTAAAATGTAAATTGTGTTAAAATTTTTAATAGGTAATACATGTACATGATAAGAAGAATTCAAATAGGAATTTTCTTTTGAATGTTATGTGTTGTTTTCTTCACGTGAGAAACTCGAGAATGTCTTCTTCGGAGAGGCCCTTTCGGGGTCTCTTCTGGATCTGGTTATTGTGCACAGGGTTGTTAGTCTCTTGGTGCTTTCACTAGCTGAGGGCTCAATGATACCAGCTATTGGGCCATTTGTCATGGGTAACAATTGCAAATCCAGAGTGCACAGTGACAGCTGTGTCTGCTTGAAGATGCAACGCTCCACATGGTAAGGAAATAAAAGTGTAAAACTCACACAAATGTAACTAAGAGCAAAAGCTCCAAATTCTGAAACTCTAGATAAACTTGAGATAGATGTCAAAAATATCTGTTTGAAGCTTAAAGAGGAAAGGTAAAAGCAAAGAATACCAGCTGATTTCATACAAGGTGCACTGGATAAGTTGTCTGAGAAGACAGACAAAGTCAAAATAAGCCAAAGAGATACTGGAAAAAGTGCCCATGGAAAAGGCCAGAAGACTCTGGGGACAGGCACTGCATAGGGTTGTTGCGAATCCCCATTCCTGGCAGCACGTTTAGCTCTGTCACTACCCAAACTGGGAATAGAAGTTCCTAGAGGGAGCCACTTGGGAGCAATTCTGCTCTCCCAGGGATGAGACCATCTATCCAGGTGCCGAATCCAGGGAATCATTTCATTATGACTTTGATTTGAATTATAAAATCTGGATTCGGGATTTTGTATTTGGGCACATAAAGCAAAAAAAAGAAAGTAGACCTGAATAAATTCTGGAGCTTTTCAAAAGGAGCTACCTGTTTCAAGGCTGCTGGGAAGGGCTGGGACTAGAGTCACCTAGGATGCAAAGTTTAAGAAGACACTCACTCTCGGTGTCATTCAAGGCGTGGATCCTCATAGTGACTAAACCCCCCTCCAGTGGCAAGTGCTGCACCAAATTCCAGAATTGTGAAGTTCTGATAAGATAAGTCATAGCAACCAGTGCTGCAGGATTCCAGGTGACCCTGATGTCTGCCCATTGTTTGCAGCAAAGTAAGTAGAGCTCCAGGGATAGGCGGTCCTCTCTCATATGGCCAGATCATACTAACACCACCATCACCATCACCACCATCATTACCCCATCCCCAACTAATGTTTTCCCTTATTCTCCTCAAGTCCGAGGAGTGCTTGGATACAGACTGACAACCATGCAGAAACAAAGCACCTACTTTTTTTGCTAAAGCTGAAGCCAACCTGTTTATCATAGTGGTCCATCCCATCACCCTGGGTCTTTCATTGAATCCACGCTAAGGTTCAGTTTTCTACTGCCTTGTGAATGTAGATAGGGGATTCTACAGCACAGGAACTTTTACTTTATGAAGTATGTAGCCACACATGTGTGCACAGAATAACCAGAAAGACGAATAAATTTTTTTTTTTTTTTTAAGGGTTGGAGAAGGGAGACCATAGTGGTGTGTTGGACTTTTTTTTTTTTTTTTTTAAATTGATGTACCAAAGTTTATTTAACTAGTCTCCTATTGATAGACACTTTGAATTTTTCCTGCTTTTGCTATTACAAACAATGAGAAAATGTACATACATTAATCCATACAGTACAGATATATCTTTAGATGAATAACTTTTAAAATGTAAATTGTGTTAAAATTTTTTTTTTTTTCCTTTTTGTCTTTTTTCGTGACCGGCAATGGGATCGCAACCCTCAGTGTTGCGCCCGCGCCTCGCTCAGCCAGTGAGCAGCCGGTCTGTATGTGGGATCTGAACCCTCGGCGGGAGCGCCGCCACGCTCCCAAGCGGTGCACTGTAGCAGTGCGCCACCGGGCCGGCCCTGTATTAAAATTTTTAATAGTAATACATGTATATGATAAGAAGAATTCAAATATGAATTTTCTTTTGAATGTTATGTGTTGTTTTCTTCAAGTGAAAAACTTGAGACTGTCTTCTTCGGAGAGGCCCTTTCGGGGTCTCTTCTGGATCTGGTTATTGTGCACAGGGTTGTTAGTCTCTTGGTGCTTTCACTAGCTGAGGGCTCAATGATACCAGCCATTGGGCCATTTGTCATGGGTACCAATTGCAAATCCAGAGTGCACAGTGACAGCTGTGTCTGCTTGAAGATGCAACGCTCCACATGGTAAGGAAATAAAAGTGGAAAACTCACACAAATGTAACTAAGACCAAAAGCTCCAAATTCTGAAACTCTAGATAAACTTGAGATAGATGTCAAAAATATCTGTTTGAAGCTTAAAGAGGAAACGTAAAAGCAAAGAATACCAGCTGATTTCATACAAGGTGCACTGCATAAGTTGTCTGAGAAGACAGACAAAGTCAAAATGAGCCAAAGAGATACTGGAAAAAGTGCCCATGGAAAAGGCCAGAAGACTCTGGGGACAGGCACTGCATAGGGTTGTTGCGAATCCCCATTCCTGGCAGCACGTTTAGCTCTGTCACTACCCAAACTGGAATAGAAGTTCCTAGAGGGAGCCACTTGGGAGCAATTCTGCTTTCCCAGGGATGAGACCATCTATCCAGATGCCGATCCAGGGAATCATTTCATTATGACTTTGATTTGAATTATAAAATCTGGATTCGGGATTTTGTATTTGGGCACATAAAGCAAAAAAAAGAAAGTAGACCTGAATAAATTCTGGAGCTTTTCAAAAGGAGCTACCTGTTTCAAGGCTGCTGGGAAGGGCTGGGACTAGAGTCGCCTAGGATGCAAAGTTTAAGAAGACACTCACTTTCGGTGTTATTCAAGGGGTGGATCCTCATAGTGACTAAACCCCCCTCCAGTGGCAAGTGCTGCACCAAATTCCAGAATTGTGAAGTTCTGATATTTGCCTTAGTTTTACTCCCTCTGGGTTTTTGCTGTGTTTGACTCACTCCCTGAAGGATAAAACCCTCCAGAGATGTTTGCTAGTCTTGTAAAAGAAATGTTAAAATAGCGGATGACATATATTATTTGAACATTATTTCCCAGATTTTGTTGTGCTTTACAGTGGTTATTTCATTTTAACAATCACAACACCCTTCCAAGTTAGTTTATTTCCCATTTCATAGATGAGAAAATTTAGGCATAGAGAGATTGTTTCCCAATATCTCACAGTTTGAGTGGCAGAGCTAAACCTAGTGGGTTAGCTTCCAAGCCCCACTACTAACCCTTAACTTATAGGCACAAAATTTTCTTTAACAAAAAACAATTGTCTTTGATGGAACCTTTAAAGTAACCACTCTTCACATTACGAGGTAATGCATTTATTCATGAATCATAAGGCTATACCAAGCAAAGTTGGCAGAATAACCTGATTCCATTTTAACTCTAAATCTCATGGGGCTTAAATACAGGGAGAATCACTAGCCTCTGGAGCCATTTATTTCTAGAGAGCAGATTTAAAAGTTTAGTTC